GTGTGACAAAATCACACTAGTTTTTTTTATTATTACATTAGGACCATGTTGTATTAACAGTTGGATATGTTTACATTTTTACAAAACTTAGCGCCTCTACCGTAATGGCTCATTTTGTAAGTATACTATAACATTTTTTTTTCAATTTCAAGCCTTAATATATGAATAGGCCTTAGGTATCACATAACTTTCTTTGCATTTTTAGACTCAATACCTTTGATACTTTCAGATCCTAAAAGAAAAATCGCGTGCAACACTTCGCCGCTAGAAATAACTCCCAGTAAAAATTGACAAAACTGATTGTTTTTACACTTTTGAACTGCAATAATTAGCCAACCGCACAATGTCACGCAACTTTTTTACATTTTTTAGAGAAAGCTTTTGGGTTACATCTGATATTAACTACAAAAGCTATGTGCAACTTTTTGCCTTGCCAAAAAAATGGGTTCAAAGGTGAAAAAAACTAAATTTCTATAAGTTTTTAAAAAAATTTTAAAAATTTAAGCCCAGATTCCCAGTGAACGAAACATTTTTGAAATTTTTTTTTTCTCTAACAGGTTTTCTCTATATTCTGATCAATATATAATAAATTCAAGCAATTTGGAGGAGATCACTTCCATTGACTGCCTGATTTTTACAAAAAATGGCTCTTAAGTTCAGGTTACATTAATATCTCGCCTATCATGGTAAGCAACAGATTATACTTAACTCTTAGCTGAATTACTTCGTTTTGCTCATTTGGTAAGCTTACTATTATGTCTCTTTAGGGCTGTTCAGTATGCTAATTTGTTTTCAGAACATAGCTAATTAAAGTTTTTCCCATTCAACTATCATATTGTGGTTCAAAAATATTTTTTACTAAATTTTATTATTTGCCCTAAAGGTCCCTCAAAGCCACTAAACATTTGACAGGTCCCTAATATAATTAAAAAAAAAAAATTATTTAAAAATATGTCAACTTGGTACTCAAAAGAAGCAAAATTTTATAAAAAACAACTTAAAAAAACTTATTATTAAAAATGTTGTGAATATTACCTTTTTTTCATTTTTCGTTTAAAAACCATAGTTTTTATTCAAAAAAACCTAATATTGTTTTTTTTTATAAAAAATACTTTTTGTTTTTAAAATTTTTAAATGATTTTGCTTCTTTTGAGTACCAAGTTGACATATTTTTAAATAATTTTTTTTTCAATAATATTAGGGACCTGTCAAATGTTAAGGGACCTTCAGTGCAAATAATAATATTTAGTAAAAAATATTTTCGAACCACAATATGATAGTTGAATGGGAAAAACTTCAATTAGCTATGTTCTGAAAACAAATTAGCATACTGAACAGCCCTAATGCCTCTTAATGATGCTATTTGATTATATATATACTCTTTTTCTTCTCATAACAAATTAGTGTCTTCTTTTTTGAACTGGAGTCTAATTGGCATACAAAAACGAGAAAACGAAGGTTTTTGATTTTTCCAAATTGAGCTAGGCGGTTTGCCAGAAGACATTAATGTATTCTCAAATGAAAGATCAAGTGGATCAAATGTTGTTGCAAATATGTGCTTATCAGAGCTGCTATCGTCCAAATAAAATTGCTGTTAGTACATACTTTGTCCAGATGCACTGTCAAAGCTCCATTTCCCGCTTAGAATTAATGTTTTACTAAAAAGTTCAACCAAGTTTTTAACTTCACACTTGATCTCACTGCAGTAATCAACAACTTGTATATTTCAGCAGATCTTGCAAAAGTACCTCTCATTTTGACTCCGTAACTGTTATACTGTCTTAGGGTAGCATAGTTGTTTAGCTTGTAGTACTTTGCGATAACTTGGATAAAGTGCATCTTAGCATTGTTTCTAAACTTTTGATAAGTGTTTCTAGTTAAATCTGTTGAAATCAACAATGCAAGAGAATCCTCAGGAGTCAATGATGATTTAATATGCTTTAAGTTGCGTTTTAAGAACTTGGTAATTCTTGTTAAATAATATACTTATAAATAAATGATATTTACAAATACTATTTAAAAACATTAAATTAATTGTTTAAAAATAAAAAACCTCTTTTTTTGTTTGTTTGAGTTATCAAGAGATCTTGAAATACTGATAGATGAAGAAGGATAGGAAGCACTTTTTCTTGCAGCAATTGATTTGTTAATTAAAAAACCCTTGGGCCAATTGAACTTGTACTTTAAAAAGCAGGATTTGCAACATATCATTTTATCATTTTAAATTTGCATTGGTTAATGAAAGTAAAAAGATGCATTTTGAAAGTTTGCTTTTCTTTTATATTATTATCAGAACAAGATTTTTGTTTTTCTTTTAGTAAAGTTTTGCATTTTTCAGCAATAACACTTTTTGGTAAATTTTAGTCATTTTTAATATGTTAAAATATTTCTAACCGCGTCAGTTATACTAACATTTTTAAAAACCAAATAACATAAATAAAGTTGAGTTCTTCAAGCCTTCCTAGGAAAGGCGTGCGGTTTTTTGTCTCGTACGACCATGAAAATGTTTTTGAAGTTAGAGAACGTGATCACGGCCGTTTGCGCAAGTTTTATTATATGCGTTGCTGAAAAATTGTTTTAAATTTAATAACTACTTAAGAAATTAAAGTGAACTTAAATAGAAAACAATAATTATAGTTTAAATAATTTGCGTTTTGTTTTTGTTTTTGTTTTTTCTTAGTGGTTATTATTATCGGCAACAAAATTCATTAAGTCAAAGCAAAAAAAAAATAAATGTTTTAGGCGTTAAAAAGGATGACTTTCCCATATTTTATATGTATTTTCTTTTAAAGAGGAATGAGAAAATATGTATCGTCATCTGTTTGTAAAATATATTTGTATAATTATAATGTAACAAGTTTATATCAAGAGTTTAATTATACGATCGCGATTTGCAATCTCTGGTAAAATATTAGATCTTTAAAATTTTAGTTCATGTACTTTGTTTATAAGGAGTAAATTATTAAAAGTTTGCTAGCGAGAAAGTTACAAAAAACAAAACAAAAACAATAAACTTATGAATACAAAAGTATTTACACTTTAGTCACTAACTGCATTATAAAAGTAATAAAACTATAATAGTGTTATTACATTTATAAAGCACTTATTACCTATAAAGTTGATTCTTTGTTCAAACAACATTATTAATTCCAAACATTTATTAAAGTAGAAAAGCATCTAGAAAAAATTAAGCGGATATTCAGATATTATTAAAAATTTCAGGAACTTTCACATATCACTTAAACAATGTTATGAAAAAGTACTTTATAAAAAGTATAGCATTATGAAAAACGTTACGTAAAAACTCGCGTTTAATTTTAAAATCAACCAATAAAAAATTAAAATTAACGCACGTTTTTACGGTCCATTAGTAACGTTTTTCATAATGCTAAACTTTTAATGCAGATACGTTTTCATAAAGTTGTTTATCACGTTTTTATAAGTTACTTTAGTTTTAATATTATTTGAACATCTACATTATTCTTTTAGATATTTTTCTACTTCAATTAAAATTTGGGAATATTAATGTTGCTTGAACAAAGAATGAATTTTAAAAGTTATAAGTGCGTTATAAAAATAATAACACTATTATAGTGTTATTACTTTTGTAATACAGTTAGTGACTAGAGTGTTATTACCTTATTGTTTTATTTTTCCGCTAACAAATTTAAGTTGATTCTCCCCTTAAAAACAAGGAACACGGTTTTGTATAAACTAAAATTTTGAATACTAGATATTTTCCAGACTTTGCGTTTTGCATTCGCTTAATTCAACCCTTGTTTTTACATTAAAATTATATAAATAAATTTACAAACACATTGCAATTTGTATTTTTGCTATCCTCTTAAAAAAAATTAAGAAAAGGAAAATCATTCTTTTTATTGTAGTCTTTAAACTGTTATTTTTTTTTGCTTCGCCTTTTTTTGTTGCTGAATTTAACTCTAAAGAAACAGAAATAAAAACAGTACACAAATTATTAATTTGTTTTTATTTTTTTCTATTTCAATCTCTTTTTATTTTGTTAGTTATGTTTTTTTTTGTTTTTGAAACTTTTTCAGCATTATTATAACTTGCAAATGGCCATGTTCACGTTTTCTAAAATAGTGTAATCGCGTGTGGTCATACGAGAAAAAAAAACGCACTCCTTTCCTGGGAAGGCTTGTTTCTTGCAGCAGTTGATTTGTTGATTAAAAAACTCATAAGCCAATGGAACTCGCACTTTAAAAAGCAAGATTTGCAACATTAGAATTATATCATTTTAAATTTGCATTGGTTAATGAAAGTAAAAAGACTGCATTTTGAATGTGTCTACAGTGTTAGTGTCTACATGCGTCTATAGACGTCAATTTTGAATGCGTCAACAGTTCTTGACTTTAAAGTAGATAAAATGTCGTTTTACCAAATGGAAAAATGTATTTTTACAAAAACAAAATTTCCAGCAAAAAAGTTAACCACACAAAGTGAATTAGTTATTAGGATTTATAAAATTTTTCCATTTATATACTTTTTAAACAGAATGAACAGCGAATTCAAAATTACAAAAAGTTTTTTAGCATTTTTTATAGTAATTTTTAAAAGTTTTTTTTTTTAACTTTAATGAACTGAAAATTTTTTGACGTAGAATTTAAGATATCTTGAAAATTCTGACAAAAATAAAATTTATAAATAAATTGAAAAAAAAATTGCGTTGAAAATGTTTGTATCTTTTTAATAGAAATTTATTACAAATTTTTTTTTATTGTTTAAATTTTTTAGCTAACAAAGTAAAACCTTAAAATTTTTTTGGCTAAAAAAAGCAAAGCCTCTAAATTTTAGATTCAAACTTTAAGTTTTCATGCAATTTAAAAATTTAAAAAATATTTGATATTAAAAACAGTTGCAAAGCTTTGTTCACTTCTACAAATTTATATTTAAAGTTGAATAAAACTTTTTTTAGCTGCAACATTAACCAATATATTTATTCCGATAATTGTTTTTTTTAGATTTTTGAAATTTTTTAGAGCACCCTACAGAACATCAAAATTGTTACAAAATATTTTCAGAAAGTGATGTAAATGATATAAAGATTGTTATGTCGAATACAATAAATAAAATTAATACAATTGAAAGCGACGTTGCAAACATCAAAAAAGTTATTTTAGATCTCAATTCCAAGCTTTTTAATATCTTTGAAAAGTTTGACAAGTCTGCAATAACCCGACAAACTAATATTTTATCTCTTGATGCTAATCTGAACCTCAAAACTGATTGTTTAGAAGTACCTACCTCTAAAGCCAGTCATAATGTTCAATATATTTCACCAGGTATTGATGTTCAAAATAAGGTAAGTAATTACAATTATAAAAACAATGATTTTTTAATTCCATCTAATAGCAAAACAGAAGTTTTTGATGAAAAGTTTGATAAGGTAAATAGACATTCATTAAGCACTCAAAAAACATTTAATGACATTAAACAAGCAACATTTAACAAAGAAATAAACAATTTGAAAGATTCCCCTGATAAAATTCATTTAAAAAATATTGAAATAGATTGTGACCGTGTCAATGGTCCTGAAAATGTAAATAAAGTTGTTATTAAAATTGAAGATGATGAAGATCCAATAAATGAATTTTCAGGTTTCAATAACTCTAGGAAGGTAGAAGTATGTGAAATCTCGAAGACAACTTATAACCCTCTTTCTAATCAGTCTTTAAGTTCAGTCCCCCCTCAATCCTTTAGCAACCTAAATGGAATTTTTAACCAGTCTGTAATCAATAAATCAATGAGTGTAAATTTGAGTCCTAGTTTTTCAAGCATAAGCAGCAAAACTCTGCCACCTACTGTATCTTCTGCACATCAAACACTCTCTAATTCTTCACTGCCATTATTAGAAAAGAAGTATTCTAAGGAAACTAATTGCCGGTCTATACAATTAACCTCTCCATTACCTTTGTATGGTTCACATTCTAGCAAATTAAATCAATGTAACAAAATTTTGAGCAGTTCCAAATTTATTGCTACAGAAAAAAAATCTATGAGCAATGTGTTTAAAGTGCCGCAAACAATGATGCATCCAGTAATCCAGTCTGCCAACACAGAAGTCATTTTAAAAACAGGTTAATTTTTTTTTATTATTGTTGTAAAAACAATTTTCTGCTTTTTAATCATTGAATTGATAAAATTAAAACAAGTAAATTAAAGTACATATTTTTTAATTTTGTTCATAACTTTTCACAACTAACCATAATAAATGAATGATAATAAATTAATTATGGGAATGACTCTACCATCACCATAATAACCATAACTCTATTGATTGGCTGATAATTGACTATAGCTGGATTAGCGGAAAAAAAGCATACGTACTTTATGGACGACCCCCAATGATGATGGTACTTTGATTTCCATTTGAGCATGATATTCAAGCTTGAACGAAATATTTTTACTTTTAACTTGATGTAAAGTTTAAGTTATTTTTATGTATATGGTAAATTGCTTGAATTATTTATTTAACAATTGTATAATTTAATATTACACATTATTTTTAATACAGTTAGTTCTTAAATACTATTCAAATTTAATAAATCAAAATTTTTCTAAAAGTATTTTAATTGTAATTTATCAATATTTATTAGTTTATCATAATTTATCAATTTATAGAGAAAGATTAGGTTTGCTGCTTATTTAACCTTCATCAACTCAATCCTCCCTTATCAGTTGTTTTCCATTTTTAAATATATGAGTCTGTTAATTAAAAAAGTTATTGTGATTCCTTCATCTGAAGCTAGTGCACTTGACAATTCTTTGTCTATGTCCATTTTAATTCCAAAATACAAAGATTTTAAATATTTTTAGTTTGGACTTATTATTGAGTTTCTTTATGCTTTTAAATAATTACATTTATATTAAACATTAAAGTTGATAAAATTATTTTACATTAAAGTTAAATTTGTAAACATAATCTCTTGTTTTACTTCTCTTTTTTAAAATATTTTTTTTGTTTTAGTTTAAACCAACATGCTCTCGCTCCCAACTGTGAACGAGAGCATGCTGGAGAAAAAATTAATCTTTTTGTCACTTTCAAATTCTTTTCAAATTTCAAATTCAAATTCAGGAATGCTGAGTCCTTTCTCGGACTCAACATCCCTGCCTATAACAAATTTATTTTCACGCATAATGTTGCTTTAATTTTTTTATGTACCAGCCATTATTATAAAATTAGAAAATATGAGCTAAATCATTGACTAAATATTCAAAAAAAAAATAAGTAGACTTTTTTGATAAACTATGTTGGCTGATTTTTGAAAAATTAACTTTCTTTACTTTATTTCTCTGCAACTTCTCTGGGTCAGACTTTAAGACGAGTTAATATAGACAAGTTATATAGACAAGTTAATATTATTATATAGTCCAAGACTTTAAGCAAATCATTTATACTTAAACAAATTTTATATGTGAGTATGCAATTTGACATTTGGCTCTTTTGATTTAACCATGCTTAATTTTGTAATTCTTAATTTTCCTTTTTAACTTTGTAAAAAAAAATATTCAGTTTCAATAAAGCTTTTAAATGTGTACTAACAAAAACATCAGGGACAACTAAATCATATACAACTTTGATAGACATTTACAATGGCTCAAAGTAATTAACAGCAGTGTTTTAATTTTGTCTCTAAAATATAACGAAGTAAAAAAAAAAGAAAAGATTTTTAGTTTTCTGTTTCAAATTATACTTTAGTTTTATTTTATTTATACCATTATTATTGAATTCAGATTTTAAACATTTGATTTTTGCCTAAGTCGCCAGTTTTTCTAGCTGATATAAAACTTCTAGCTGATTTTAAAATAATTGCAGATCAATATAATTATTTGTGTCTTTGCAAACAAGAAGATAATTACCATCCGCACTTAGATCCAAAAAAGAAACAGTTTAATTTAAATAAGTCTCACAGTGAGAAGGTAGGTCTAGGAAATTTTGTATTTTTCGTTTTTACAGGAGAAATTCATTTTCAGACAATTCATTTTACAGAAGAAAAATTAAAGACACCGGTTATTGGCAATAGATTTAAACAATTAGAACAGGGTCGTTCATATATAATCATAATATAAGGCACTACCCTATAGATATGGCCCATAAAACATAGCCCGCATATTACTTTTAAAAAAATAATTAAAAAGTTTCATAGAACGGCATATGTAACTACTGTTATCAATTTTTAATTCAAATTTAAATCTAAATCTGTTAATAAAATGTGCGTATTACAATAAAATATTATGCTATGTTTTTAATTTTTAATTTTTAAAATATAACTGCAACAAAAAGATGTAGATATTTTACTGAATGTAGCAAGGGGTCCTACATTACTCCTTTATGGACAACCAAATATTTTGTACTAAGGCATTTTTATGTCTCATTTGTCTAGAAAATCAATGTTTAGGGAATAATTATTGTTATCACTACATTAACTAATTGCTTTACTTTTCAATTACATGAAAAGTAAAGTATTTAGTTCATGCAAAAATGTTAATTTTTTTATAATGGGGATTTTTAAAAACTGAAAAACTATTTTGTAACATAATGCGTTCTGAAAAAACAAACTTTATTGAAATTCTTAGCTCTTTACACTAGAATATTGCTAGAAGAGTTTAAGATCTAGCGAAGAATATTTAATTTTCATGGAAAAAAAAATTTTAATAAATGTGAAGACTATTTTTTATATCTAGAGAAGATATAGTCTCTGAAGTTAAAAGGTATTGGTCAAATTGAATTACTAGAAATAAAGCTCCTTCGTGTCACTACAGATTGAGCTAGTACACCAATAGGAAAAATATTGGACTTGTGATTTACTTAAAATAATCCTTTAGCTGTGACATTCTTTTAATTTACTACATTAATCATCAAGAGCACTTGTGTGGAAATGTATTCAAAGTAGAGCATATGGAGTAACTTGTTTAGTGTTTTAGTTTTAAAAATATTTGTTCGCAATCACAGGCAGCTCAAATATTGCTTACTTAAAGATTGTGGTAGTGATGCAAATATATTCTATACAACTAATATGTTAAATCAAAGTGTTTGAACTAAAACAAATATAATGCGAATTAAATAATCAGCGCGCGCGGAACTGTATGTTTTAACTAGAAACAAGTATTTGCTACAAATTACTATATTAAATAAGAAAAATTGTAATAAAAGTTTGATTGTATTTGGGTTATTTCTTTTCTTTAGCAACTCCTTTACAAGAAGCCAATAATGTTTTGCTTGATGGTAATTTATCGATACAAGATGTTGAGCTTGAACCTTTTCTTTCTTTTTCTCAAGCTGTCGACAACATGGGCGATGAACTTGAAGGTGAAGACCGTTCGTATTTACTTAATAATGCAAAAAAGAATCGCGGAACCTGGAACAAAATATGTAAAAGTAACGAAGGAATGAGATATGCTCTTCTTGTAAAATCTAAAGGCAGAATGAAAGCGGTACATAAAGCATCCCTGGGTAAAGATGCCATTCATAGAATCGTGAAAAAAAAGATTCGAAAAATAAATAAAAAGTTTTCGTAATAATTTACGCAAATAAAGAGTTTTTTATTCTGTTTGTAATAAGCATTTCACATTTGATGAATTAATTACTTTGATTGGTGGAATTTTATTTAAAAAATATTTGATTATTTATTATGAAGTTTAACCAATCACTTTTTTAGTCAAAACTTGCACCATAAAATATTTTTATATGTTTTCTAAAGCTATAGAAACTTTTTAATTAGAAACCGTAAACAGGCGCTTTTTGGAGTCAAACGCGGCATAATCTTTACTTGAAAATATTTTAATCGCCAATTTTTTATTTTTATTATTCCTCCTAATAAATTTATTCGATACTTTAAAATAAGTCTTTAAAATAATACAAAAGTGTTCAAAACTCAATAGGTTGATTAATTATCATATATATTTTGTGTAAAACTATTTTTTAATTGCTATATTTATATTTTTGTACATATAATCGTCCACACATTTTTTATTTTTTATTTACTATTGCTTGTTTAAATATATGCAAAATAATCTTTGATAATCACAAGTTACTTATTTCTTATTGTAAACATAATTCTTTAAAAGTAGGTTGTTTTTTTTATAATTATATTAATGAATTTTTTTTTTCTGAATATTTATAACCCTACTTTTTTTTACATTTTGATAGAACTTCTCTTCTTCCACCTCACCAAAATGATTGTTACAAAAAAAAAGAATTTATAGTGTTATTACCACTATTAAATAATTCGACGGTCGACTAAATCGACTAATATATTTTCTAGTCAACTGAAATCGGCTAATACATTTAAAAAATCGATTTAGTCGAAATATGGGAATAATTTATTTTTTTGAAATAAATTGTCATAAAAATAATAAAGTAATTTATTTTCACTTTTTTTTTTTTTTTTTAATGTTAATGGAGCAAAACAATATGATAGAACGGTCACTCCGACAATTGGGCAATTTATTTCCAGACCCCAATGATTTAGGAAGTCTTAAATACTTGCTACATATTAAAGCCTTTACGATCATATTTACAATGTGATTGTTTAAAAAACATTTTGATTTTAGAGCTTCTCAACTTAATTTTGCCCCATGGCCCCAAGCTAGCTTGAAGTGGTCTGTATGAAAGTGTTTATGAAAATTAAAAGCATCGAGTAAACAAAAGAAAATAAAATTAATAAAAAACATAACCGATTGTTTAATTAGGAATAATTGTATTCCTTTTTATTTATGTAGTTATTAAGGTGCTCCCAGAATCCCTTACAATCTTATTACAGAGCACCGGAAAGAGCGTAAATAATACTAATATGAATGAATTAGATAAAACTTGATAAGATGTAAACAAATAAAGTAATTAGAGAAGACATACTTCCTAAAATAGCCATTCACAATGTACACTGCTACCGGCAAATAATTAAATTTGCTTAGCAAGTTCAGTTAGGATAATGTTTTGCGTTTGCTGACTAACACTTGTAAGAGTTTGCTGTCCAATTTAAGTAAACGGTTTCAAGTAAAAACTAATATCGTTTGTAGTTCAAATTTTTCTTTCTCACATTTTCATATGTGTGCATATTTTTCGTAGAAACTAATTTGATTGTTTTCATTTACATTTCTTTTTCTTACGAAGTAGAGCTAAATCATCACCGGTGCTACTAGTCACTAGTAATGGTTGATCTGTGTTAAGAAGCCTTCTACTGAGAAGGATTTATCGCATCGTTTTATCACAACCGCATAACTGACATACCCTTTAAAGTTAAACGATGCTTTAAGTTTAGGTTGTAGTGAAGATCTATCTATATCAACTTTTACCTCTGAAATGAAAATATCCGAGCTGGTTATTTTTGCAAACTTTTTGAGTGGTTTGAAGAGTATGATAAGTTTATACACTACTATAGTTAAATCAAATTGATGTTGACGTAACAGTCAACAGTGTGTGTTGTTACACAGCCAAGTCATAAATTAACAAAAATGCCTACTGCGTAGAGTTTTTTCCAGAATACCCACAACATATTGTGGGTATTTTGACAAAAAACGTTAACTCAAAAATCATTGTTAACAGAAATCAATCATTTAAGTTTTCTTTCAGTTTGAAACTTTGACTATCTTATTTAAATATTGACATTTAAATACATTATTTATTTTATTTATTTCTTTTGCCGTTTAATAAATATTTTAGATCCGAGCACATAGTCAACAAGCGCTGATCCGATGTGCATTGTGGAGCTTCCGACTGAACGTGTACGTGAGTGTCAGCGTAGTCATTAGGTTATTGATCGCCGTAACCACATCCAGCGGGATATCCTAATGTCCGTTTTGTCGTTGTGGCGTACATTGGAAAAAGTAGCCACAAAGAATAAATTTTTTGTTTATGCGGCACAATGATCGCAACAAGTGACCAACGGAGCCGTCCAGTTTCGTAGACCTGAGAGATGTGATAATAAAAACAGTTAGAAGATGGTGTTATTGAATAAAAAATAAAAATCATAAGAAAATATAAAATGAGTGATAAGACTTTTGTGAAGGTAAAGAACAAAGTAAATGCTCGGAGGGCAGGGAGAGAACAAACTAACACTCTAATCACTCTGTATGTAGATCATATGTAACAAAGAACAAATATTTGATATACTGATTTTAAAGACTGTTGATGTCTACAGGTGTGACGGTGTAGTGCATTAGTACGTACCGTTTGTCGTCTAGTATGGTCTCGTTATGTTTCCGTTCACTTTCAAATCGGGTGAATAGAAAGCTAAACACACTCACATCTTGCGCTAATGGGCTAGCATATCAGAGCCAGACGCGAGACCTACAGAATGGATTTCAATTGATCGAATGAACACATTAGTCACCGTAGGCCTCAAACCATCACTCTTAACCAAAAGAGCTACTGCCCCGTGCTGGTGTGGATTGATGTGTATGAAGTGAGATTTCAGATCCGAGCACATAGTTAGCGAGCGCTGATCCGACGTGCATTGTGGAGCTTTTTTTTTGTTGTTGTTAACGTCACTCTTGCCATCAACTGTCAAAACGAAGTGCAAGTTTTTTCACTTTTCTTTAAATGTATCTGTTTCACATTTTTTATGTTTTATGTTATAGAGGAATTCAAAATGTTTCCTGCAATTTCCCATCTTTTAAATTTTTTATTATAATATCCTTTTAAATTTAATAGATCAGAAAGAATCTAAATACATTTCTTTACTGCGAATAAGTGGAATAGCCGTGGCGCAGTGGTAAGAGAACTCAGAGGTTCGACGCCAGCTCTAGCCCAAAAAGCAACATCGGAGGCTTCTTTTTAAATGTTATCCCGCGGTGCTCTGTGATAAGACCGCAAGGAATTCTGGGAGCACCTGAAATAATTACAAAAGAATACGTGCGAATCTGCAAAAATGCGAAATGCCAATTCGCACTTATGTTAATATTTGCAATTTTTTTCGGCTTATGCCAATTTTTGTCACTACTTCGCACTTATGCGAATGTTTGTTCGGCGCACTTAATCCAGTTTTTGCAACTGCTTCGCACTTATACCAATGTTTATTTTTTTATCGCACATATGCCAATTCACACTTGTGATTTTGCAACTACTTCGTACTTATGCCCTTTAGAGTTTTTTTCAATTAGCATTAAGAAAATTTGTGTTTTGAACCGAGATAATTAAAAGCAATAAAAATTATTTTTCACATTTATGAAGTCAGGTTAAAACTGTTTTATTGCTTAAAGAATTTTCTTCGTCATTTCGTAGAACATTTAGAAATACTTTAATGTTGTAATATTTTAGAAAGTTTTCTTAAACACTTCCTAAAATAAACCGTATAACGTCTGAAACAATAAACTTTTAATAAAATTCGAGTAACCATCAATTTCCATTTTGATACGTGCTTTTTTATAAAGACTTGTTTTCGTTTTATTATCTCTATGATTCAAGCGATGCGTAAAAATTTATTTCAACCTAGTTAACTTGAGAGCATCCGATTTAAAAGGCAACAAATCGTTAGGCATAACTTGCTATTTTACTACCTTCCTTACTGTAGGTACTAATATTTAAGGTGGTGGATGCAGCGAAAAAGTTTAATAGATTAGGATAAGTAATAAGAGGCTTAAGTATCGCAACAGCTATATTAGGCACAATCTACATACGCGTCAAGTGAACTTTCAAACACTAGCTAGTGCAAACTTTTATAAAATAGTATATACACAACAAGCGGTAAGTAGAAATACTCGCAGGAAACGTAAAAATATCTACTATTAGACTATCGTTGGAAAAGTCATTTTGATATTAAACACTCGTAAATAAATTAAAGGTAAATAAAATTAGCAGGGGAAATTAATATATAGTACACGCCATGAATTAAAAACTTTAAAAATAAATTTTAAAGAACAATCTATACCAACAAATTAATTACACTAAACAATTAAAATGATGGCTTAAATGTTAAATTCTGTTCATCGATAGAGATAGGCTTGCCACATTTATGAGATTCTTCACAAGCGGAAGCTATTAAGGATACCATCATTACGTTTTTACCAGTAACAATTGATGGAGCTCCTTCAATCACATCTAAAAAATGTTCAAGTTCGCTGGCGTAACCCTCTGCATAACGCTGTGGAAATGAATGCAGTATTAGATCTCGAGATACTTGATCTTTTGTTGACTTAATTGTCGATGTTTTATGTTGGTTTATGCTCTCCAACATACCTAACTCGCCAAAAACCTCGACACGCTGATCATAACCATATGCTGCAAACCGACTGATATCAATTTGAGCTATACTACCAGATGCAAATTTCATTGTAATGGAAACAGTGTCAACATCTCCCATTTCTGATATACTTTTACGGAAAGCATGAGCATGTGTAAAAACGGATATAGGATATTCATCTAATATCCATGTTATCATATCTATATCATGCACAGCACAATCGTGAAATATTCCTCCAGATATTTTAAGGTAATCATCACTGGGAAGAGGTGAATCCCGGCTGATACATCGCACCATATGTATTTTACCAATTTCTCCTAACCGAGCAGCATTGCGAACACAAGCATGCGACTTGTCAAAACGACGGTTAAAGGCGCAGAAGATAGGAACATTAGCTTTAGCCGCCATTTCATAACAAGTAACTAAAAACACATCACAAATATTAATAAGTAAATAACTACTATTTCAATCATAATTTATTTTTAGTAGGTATAGGATATCTCTAAAGAAGATGCAGGAGTTTTACGCTTAGTCAAATTTTTAGTAACAATTTAATCACTAACTTTAAGAGTCACTTTTGAGCTTATCTTAAAAACTAGGGGATTAGAAAGGTTTCTATTCGAAGGCTCTCGCAGACTTATGCCCACACAACATTTATAAAATGAGGTTTAATTTTAAAAAATCTTGCTTAACCTATCAATGTCATGAATGACATTGATAGGTTAAGCAAGATTTTTTTAAATCTTGCTTAAAGATTTTTTAAAATTAATGAAAACACCAAACCAATTTTAGTTTATTTAATTTTGGTACCTGGGAACATAACGAGACACGTAAATATTCTGCCGTAAAATTGCAAAAAGAATGTTAAATATCATATTCAACATTAACATATACTTCCTTTAGCCAATTCACGGCAGTATTATTGTAATAATTTAATAAGCTATATCATGACATAATTACATCCACAACAACGTTATTATTATAACAATAAAATATTGAAGAAAGCAATAACAAACTTTCAGCTTTTTAATTCTTAAATTCACACTAGCAATGAATTGTCAATTAAGTAACAAGTAATAAATAGTTTATGAACAATTATTTTCACATGTGAATTTACACGGTATCTAAGCCGTATAGAAAAAGTTATTAGTTTAAAATTCGACCTTAGTTTAGAGGTGTTATAGGTCCTATAGTTATCCTTTAATGTCAAGTACTTTTAATATAATATTCTAGATGCTTTTTGTTTAATACAACTATTTCAAAATAGATTCCAGTCTTCCCCTGAAAATTTATTTTGAAACATTCAATGTTTTAAAATAAATAAGTTTTTTAACGTTAATATTTAATTTTTTAAAAAACTTATAATCATATCTACTAATAAAAAAGATTATGAACTTATAAATAATTACATCTATTTATTTAAAATTTATTATAATAAATAACCATCTTATATCTTATAATCAGGGGCAATTTTACATGTGTTTATGGTGGGAGGGGCAGGAATGGGGTGACACCTTCCAAAGGAGGTTTTTTTTAACTTCGGATTTTAACAATATAGTTTTAAAACAATATAGTTAACTAGTAGACACATTTGAGTTGGCAGATTTTTTAGCTTTGATTTCAAAAAAATTTTCAGAAAACAATTGACAGTTTTTATGGCAACGTGCCTGTTTATAATAATTTTAAATAAGCAATGCAAATAATAATGTAAAAAATATATTAAAATAAATAATATAATAATATTTCAAGTATAAATTTATTATAATAAATAAAAAAATTTATAAATATCTTTAGTATATCTATTAACATCTATAAATTTATAAATATCTATAGTGTATTGTCAGCAGTAATGATCAACATAAACAGCACTTGTAACTTAATGTTGAATTACATTAATAAAAAAAATTTAATATAGATCAGTATTTCTATAACAATATCTGACAAAATGATAGATCAGATATGATTAACAAGTTAAGTCTTAAGAGCCATTTTTTGTAAAAATCAGGCAGTCAGTGGAGACGACCCTTCAAATTTGCTTGAATATTTATATTACTCAGAATATAAAAAGAAGAATAGAACAAAAAAATATTGGTGAAATAAAAAATTGCTGATTTTTTTCGGGAAGTTTTAGGTTTAAAATTTTAAGATATTTTGAAAATATTTTAGAAAGTCAATTTTTGCCATCTTTGAATCCATTTCACTAAAATTTTTAAGTTAATATCAAACATGACCCATTAACTCTCACTAAAAAAAATGAAAAAGTTGTAAGAAACTGTGCGGTTGGCTAACTATCATAATTTAAAAGTGAAAATTTTAAAAAAAATTTTAAATGGAAGACATTTTTAACAGGCAAAGAGTTGCACACAATTTTTTTTGCAAAATTTGTAAGTAACGTAAGTTATGTGTCTATAGGCAAAGAAAGCTAAGTGATTCCTAAGGCCTATATATATTCAGGCTCGAAAAAAAAAAAAAAAAAAAAAAACTTTATAGTGTTCTTATAAAATGATGAGAAAGGAGCTAAAACTTGTAAAAATATAATCTTGTTAAAATGCCAATACACGATGGTCCTAACATATATATATTAAAAAAAAAAAAACTATTAAAGGTAACAATTAAAGGTAACAAATGTTTAAATTTTATGAAAAATGGTTATTAATGTAAACGTTTCTGACTGTTATCAAAACCATAACAATAATAATCAATAATAAAATATAATATACAATCAAAAAAGAATTAGTCGAATTTGTCATAAGCAAATAAGTTGTGGCATTTAAACGCCATGAAGAATCTGATATCACAATTGTGGAAATACCAGATAGTGGGCAATTGTCATAAAAAAATTTATTTCCGTCAAAATTTCCTTTTTTTTAAACAATCTTTAACATGTGCATAAATAGAGTAGATATTTTATGTATTTAAGAGCTGCATAAATAAAACTTGTTTTTTGGTTGAGTATGGACTGAAAAAGAAAATAACAAAAAATTGTTTGAAAAACATATTATAGAAACTTCTTTGGAATTAATATTAAAAATTAATTTTAAGGAATTAATTTGAAAAGGAAAGAAAAAAAAAAAAAAGAAATTCATTGTCGAAAATGCCTATACAGAATAATATCTAAATTTGGATTTAGGAATAGTATCGAAAAACTAGCAAAGTGATTGAACATGCGAGGAGTGTTGCTACATTGACTGACAAATAGATAGAACATGCAAGGAGTGCTGCTACATCAATTTAAGGTTTGGACAGACAGTCTATCGATTAAAAAAAAATTAAATCATAATAATTTTTTTAATTCTCAAAATTATTCACAATTTCAGTTTATTCTTCATTTCAAAATTAATCCTAACTGAATAGTCTTTTCAAGCTTATCCAGTTTGGCTGTTTTCGATTTTTACCCTATTGACCAAAACAATTTTTATGAAAATTGTGGAACGCTTTTAAAAAAAAAAAATTATAAAAAATATGCTCTATATTCATCAGCTGGGAGATGTCAAGAAACAACTTATCAACCTTCAGATAACTATGTTTTTTAAATGTATGCAGACTGTAATTTTTATGATTACATACTTATTAACTATTGAGCATTAGGATTTTGACACTTATCTCTGAAAAAATAACCAAAAATTGTATTTAGATAATGCGGGCCAATGATAATAATGCGTGGAAAGAGAATGGACTCATGAAATAGGCAAAAAGAAGTCTTAAAAAGAATGAACATGGAGTCCTCAAAAAACATGCTTTAATGTAATTATCTAAATTTAAAAGAAAAAAATCTCCTACTTAAAAGGGCACCACCAATAAACATCGCCTTATTAATGTCAAAGCGAAATTATGAAACATTTTCAGTTAGTGCAATGCTGTATTTTACCTATTTAAAACAAGAAACTACTTCAGCTGAAATTGATAAAAACTACAATATATGAACAAAAATACAACATGGACAAATATGAGGCGCCTGCTACTCCAGAAAAAGAAACGGACCTTGATGAAATATTATTTCATGAGAGATTTTGGACAAATCTTTTAGAAGCAGTGAAAGTGTAATTAAAGTTTTTAACGCAAGTTTAATAAAATATAAACTAAATATAAAACTAAAAAAAAAATAATTAAAATGCAAATATATTCGCTCAGAAAACTTATTAAAGAAAAAATTTGCAGAAGCTGTGGCTCCTGGAAAGGATGAAATACTTATGGACGTTTTTAATAGTTAAAAAGGTTGATAAAATAAATAGTCCTCTACCAGATAAAATTATTTGCGCTCAGTCAGTAAATATATATAAAGTTATCTTCTCATTATTAGACCATAATAAGAATAACAAAAAATTTATAATGAATACATTAGAGTGTACCAAACATTGTTTATAATTTGAAAAAAATGACATGTGTCTAATGAAGAGTCTGCAATTCTAGAGAAAAAAGTGTTCATTCTAGACTTGATCAAATAAAGTGTGAACATTTCTTAGATTTTACATTTACAAGTGGTATTTTGCACAATGCTCCTTATGGAATAACCAAACTGAAATACAACAGCAGCAAAGAGCAAAAAATAGCACATGCAATATTGATCACAAAATTTAGTCACTCTTTTATGTTCCATAAAAAAAGTTGCAGTAAAAGCAATTATGTGTCGCTACTTGATTTAAGTTAAAAAGTCTATAGCAAGACTATAATAGTCATACCACATACTTCTGGAAACTTACAACTACAGAGTAAAGTAAATATGTGGTATGATGAATAATTTGTTTAATATGTATAAATAACTGTATTTATAATGACTAATTTTTAAATTTTTTATTTATTTTATGTATCAATTAATTAGCAATATAGTTTTTTTTTTTTGCTGTTTGATTTTCTTTGCCTTTCTAAAAAATTTCTTTCTAAAAAATTTCATAAAATATTAAAACTTTAAAACCAGATTCCGAGTGAAGCAAACATTTTTGCAAACATTTATTTTCCCAAACAGGTTTTTTCTATATTTAAGGATTATGCTGGTCATGTTTTGAAAATCTAGAAAAATTTGTTCTAAAAATATCTGAAAAACATTTTAAAAAATCATTTGGAAAAATCCGGAAATAAAAATGTATTTTGTGTAACTAAGAATATCTCATGTGTTTGAAAAGAAATTCATTATTTGTACACAAAAATTTTTATATTATTTAATGCGTTATTATAAATTAAATATATAACATAATATTAACATTATTTGCATGTAAAAAATATTTAAATATTTTAATTTTTTAAATTAGTAAAATAGCTACGCCTCTTTACCACTGCAGTGGTAAAAGAGGTGCAGCTGGATATGGCTACAGATTTAACTTTTTAAAATTGATTCAAATGAGGATAGGCACAGTGGAGTGTACATACATCAACTAAGGGTTTAGGTTTTAGCAGGAATTCTTTTATATATAAAAAAAGTATTTCT